ATATTCAGCTTCTCCGGACTGGCTTGACACAGTTCTGTTGCACAGTGCTGTGAGGCTCTGTATTTCCCAGTCTTTTAGCAAGAAGCATGAACTTCTTAGTGTTTTTCCCTTCAAAGAGTTCAAAATCCACAGATTCTCTCTGGGTTCTCACAGAGGAAAAAAAGAAAATCAAAAAACCCAACAAAGCCACACACAATATATGTAAGTTAGGGTAAACTTCTGGTGGTTATTATTCTTGTTTTCCCCTCATTTTGTCTGCCTGCATGTGTGGGAACGCACACATTTTTATTTATCTGCAGTCTTTCTGCAGATTGGTATTGGATGTGTTACAGACTATGGATAGATCATCCACATGATCGCAGTTTATAACACCACGTAGGCCATAAGATACAGACTCATAAGAATCAAAGTGACTTGCCTACTGCAACAGAAAAAAAAGCAGTCAGCAGAGTTGGGAAAACAGCAATGAATAATTCGGGTAACCTTTCCTGTCTAGGTACGGGAGATGTGCCACATTTCTCTGCAGGCCTGGAGGTTTTGGTTTGGGGTTGTTAATTTTTGTGCAGAGCACGTACAGAAAGGGCAAGACAGGCAAGCGCTAAAAGCTTGTCTGTCTTTCATAAATCAGCAGGATACAGTATCCAGTTGTTTACTTAGCATAATTTTACACAGACTAGACTGGACAAGTCTTGAAACACTGGGCACAAGAGCTGAGAAACGCTGCTATTAAAAAAGGCATGCGGAAAACTTTCCCAAGGGATGCCAAGCGTGTGTGTGGGAAGAGGTAGGAGGAAGAAGCAGCAGCATCAGGGGTTATAGCAAACAGAAAAGAAGCGATTGTGTTTTTCCCTCAGTTACTAAACCTTTCAAAGAGAAAAGCATTGCTGGAAGGGAAACACAGGAGTGACCCTGGAAACAACTGTGCACCTGCACAGAAAGTCTCCAAAAGAGTTAAGCAGAGTCGAGCCGCCTGTTTAGGGTGTAATGCAAGTTAACAGCTTAGATGCGGACAGATTTGCCAAGTAAGCTTTGCTAAGGTTTTAAATGTTATTTGTTTTACAAGAAAGTGGATTCTTCTAACTAAACAGCGACTGCCAAATTTTGCAGTGTACTTGTGTTGCATCTGATAACATTGGTCACAGCTCAGTTGGTGTGCTACAGGGCCTGCACACCAGTACGCAGCAAGGAGCTCATGGTCAAGGGAGTGGAAGGGGTCAACATGGACTGAACACCGCCTTCTCCAAAACAATGCCCCAAAAGGAACAGAGACAATAAAAAGATTAAAGACAGACTACAGCAACTACTCAAATATTGTCTCCCTCCATAACATGCATGCAGCCTGAGCTTCACCCTACATATGTACAATTCAGAGAATAATTTCTGAGGCATATATATACTGATTGATAGTTCATATTGTTCCCCTTTTACGGTCATTGGGCTCATTCCAACAACAGAAAAGCTTGCAATTGATGAGGACTTGTGCGGTTTTTATTTATTCTGTGCTCCAGTGAAGTATTTTTTCACCCTACATGCTCTCTAGCTTCGCCCTCAGAAAGTGAAAATAGGACCTACATATGCACCATTCTGTAGGAAGACTTACAGATCTTTAGATCTTACAGATCCCCCAGTGCTTGCTTTAGTGCTGTAAAGATCTATAAAGATCCACACAGTCTTCTAAGCCTTTTCTTAATTTGTTTAGAGAGGAGGAAAGTGGAAGAGACAGGAAAGTTTTATGCGCATCAACACCCCCCTAACGTTTCAGGCAGCAGTACTAACTAGTCATAATATATTCAAAGATCAAGCTGATATCTTCAGCCCACCTCCTCTTTTCTCATCCTTACCACCATTCTTTTCAAAATTAAAATCTGAAGAGAAAACCACAAGAAAAGCTGGGAAGGATGAACAGCATTTCCACAGCGCCATGTACATTACAGAGCTGTAATGTTTCTTCCAATGTCTCCAGTCGGAGGTTACACTACCTTGTTTTCTTCATGCCAACCAAAACGTTTTCAGGAAAGCCGTCACTTTGATTTTGACATCCCTCCCATTCGGGTGATCAAAGCTGTACAGCCCAGAACTGACGTAACCTTGCTGATCCTGAGCAATGTGTGAATTGCAGAATTAGGGCTTTGAAAACTGAAAATTTGGGGTGTGCCCACAGAGCATGCCAACACATTAAGCTTTCTAATTTGTCAAGCGTTTGGCAAAACAAGCACTGGATCAGAGGTATCCCAGAAGAAAGTCTTGGACCTGTTCTCAATGAAGGTTAGACAAAACAATCTGATACCCTCCAGAGCACTGGTTGTATTTAAGCAGAAAGGTATAACACTACCAGTAAACCATGCACAGAGGCACCAATCACCTAAAGCTTCCGTAGCTGCTCATCAAAAAAAATTTTAGTTTCATGGAAGTTTCCACTGAAGCCTCCTTCCCCATGGGCATGGACACAGTTAGTGTTATCACTGGTCTACAAGAGCAGTTGACCTAACTGTAGCAGATGGGAAAGGTAAATTTGAGGCTGTGGTCCCTTCAGCATTTCTTTCAGGGCAGTGCTGAGGGTGGCAGTCACTGCCCTTTCTGTCCCCCATGTTCTGTCCACCACTAATAAGCCTCCATCTCCAGGATGGAGATGCATGGTCTGCCAGCAAAAGGAGGTCCTCGTGACACCATCCCTTGAGAAACTGATGATGAAACTTCATCATTCATGATACGGCCATCTCTGTCAGCAGCATCAGTCTGAGCTACTGCCCCTTCTCTCCCATAGCTGGCAACAGCTCTTTTCCAGTCTCACACCACTTTCTTCATAGCGACAGCACAACTGTTTGTAATGTCATGTGCTAAACTAGATCAGCAAACCAATACAGGTTATAAATAACCAGGGGAAAAAGAAGAGCAAGGGTATTTTTAACCTGGAACCAGGGCCTGTCCACTGATCCAGGTCACCATCTGGCCCTAGGGCAGTTGAGCCGGCACAAGTGTCAGGAAACAGGCAAGGAACCAGCAAGCAAGCGTGGATGGGAATATCCTATGGCCACATCTGCCACTGAGAAAACGGTACATGCAATGGTATTACCCATGCCTGGTGTTATGAACAGTATCATCCGTGCCTGGTGTTAAAAACTGGAGCTGACTTAACACGACTTGGAAGAATTTACACCACATTTTTAGCCTCCGCAGGCTCATTGCTTAGAAGCAAAAACACATGAGCTCCACTGGTAGGAACGACAACACTTTAAAGCTGCATGGGGTAACATCTCCAAACTCCTCCCTCTGATTGCCCTTCAGCCCCTAAAAAAGCATGAGCTTCTGAGATAAAAGTTAAACAGTGCCAATATACAACTTGCTTTTCAAAACCAGCCAAAAATTAAGAGTTTCAAAACATAAACCATCTCCCACAACATGAGCTCAGCCATACTATAGACAGCATTTTTCAATTGTTTTCTTTTTGCTGTGCAACCTCTCCATTACAGCTGTTTGTGATTAATATAAGCTATTAAAAGCAGAGAGAGTATACAGAACAGCCAATCTTAATGTTATGGAAGAAGCCTTCGCTGTGGACCGTACAGCAAGCTGCCCTGGGTAAAACCACTGCAGAAATGGAAATGTTTGCTGTGCAAAGAACATTCAGTGTGTGTCAACACACCTTCATTCTTCTCTGGTTTGCCTGCTCGTTAACTGCAGCAAAAGAGCACTGCCTCCTCATGAAGGCAGCCTTTGAAAATCTCCAGCTGAAAATTGATTTTTATCAGGCCATCTTACAAAGCAAGAATGTCTAGCTCTTGGCAGACACAACAGCTTAAGTTAGAGAGCGGCAGTCACACTGCCCATCGATCACAAGGAGATTCAGAGATATGAATCTGAAGTCCCACCAGTTGACCTAACTCTGCCTTTTTGTTTTCCTCCCTTTCCTGCCTGTTTACCCTCTATTCTTCAGCCACTTGCCTAGGAGCTTGTGTCCACGGCCATTTTTACTTGCTGGCACCTATACACACACCAAACTGTAAGACGTTTTGCACCAACACCCTTGTAGGAGTTTTGCTTAATATAACCAGCTTGCCAAAGCCCTCCTGCTCTGTACAATGCACATGCATCAACATAATTTCCCCCCCAATACCTATGTAAGACTGAAGAGTTCAGAAAAATAAGATGCATGGTTTGAAGAGGCACAATCTCTCTTCAGAAGTGCGGTATCAGTCAAGCATTGTAGATATCACAGAGGAGGATCCCATTTGACTTTAAATCTGAAGCTGTTGTTAATTTGTGGATGTAACTCTAGAAAACACGAATGGAATCAACAGGGAAAACCCCATGCTTTTCCTGATCTGTTTTGAAGACTTAATTTAAACTGATTGCTTTTTGAACAGCATAAACTGCAAGACATCTAAGGATTCAAGTATAGGCATATATTTTTTATTTCTTTGGCTGGGTTAATTTCCCGTCTTTCCCACTTAAAGCTCTACAGTAAATCCCCCTGGGTCAGTTACAACTACTACTTTACACTGCTGAATTCTGCCAGCAATCTGCTCATTGTTCCTGCAGATGTTTCTGCTTTCAGACTTCTTAGAACTTTATTGGACCCACTCCTTTGAATAAACATATACCCTCTGCAAATGTAGCAGTGAAACTACTGTCCTCGACATCAAGCAGTCTCCTCACCTTCTTTTTGGGTACAAGCAAGATGCTACATTTAAGAGAAAAAAGTGGGAAGTGGGGAATCTGACTTTTTTCCCCTCTTCTGAGAAGTGTCTGAAAAGGGAGTGCTATGTCTGCTCATATGTCCTGGGACTAGCCAAAGCAATTTGTGAAGAAGACCACAGGCCCCTGCACAGAAATCTCATAAAGGGCAGATGGACTGGAGAGGTCAGGTCCTGCAAACAGAAAGCAAACGTCCACATGCAAGGACAATGCCCTTCAAAATAAATATGAGGTAAGCCATCTGCCATCTCTTGTTATTAAATTTTACCCATATTGTTAATAAAGTAGACTGTTCTTCTACTCACCTCAGTAACGTCCATGACTTTGATGGCTGCCAGCTGACCTGTCTTGACATGCCGACCCTGAGTAAGAGAGAGAGAAGTCAGCACCAGCATCTCACCCATCCCTTCAGCATATACAGAGCAAAACATTCAGATGAGAGGTCCAGACACTGGGTTTTCCCCAGCTGCACTGGACCCTTCTGATACTTCAAACGAAAATCAACACTCTGGAAGGTTTAAAAAAGAACTTTCTTTTTAAAATGTTCTTATACAAATCTTAGAACCCATTTCTTTTTCTCCACATTAAAAGGACGATTACCAAGATTAAGCACAGATAGATTACATTCACAGCTTCCCTTCTGTTTACTTCAGCAAAGCTCATAGTCAGTAACGACAGTTTATTAACATGCTAGAATAGTTAAACTCCCCACATTGCACCCTTTATTGCCATGCACCAGCACCTGGTACCTGGGTGACATATTACTAGGTAAATGCAAGCATGCTTATGGAGTTGCAAAAGGACGTTTCTCTTTGTTTTGGTCTTCACTAGTGAAAAAAAGTGAGTTTTCTTCAAGTAATGCATCAGACCTGCAATAGCTCTCTTCGCCTGTCTCACAATAGCTAGACAAGAACAAGACGTTGTCTCCTTTCAGCTACGCCACCATAAGGGTATGGTTTCTCAGTACAGCTGGAGCTGAATTAATAGATCCCAGCTCCTGCAGTGGGGAGCTCCAACCCTTCCTTTCCCTGCCTCCCTCCAGCCTCCTGTCACATATTTCTCCTGGGAGCATTGAGCTCCTTCTGGCACTCATCAGATCATATGATAAGCTGATTGAGATCACTAAAATGGCAGAAAGTTAACACAGAAAAAGCAAACTGCAGGGTGGGGCGGGGGATTGCAGATCAGGAAATTAAACTGGTTTGCTCTGCAGTCAGAGCAGAGCCAGAGCTGGCAGGAGGCGGATCACACGGCTGGGAGGCACGCAGCACCACGGGCCCCTCCAGCTCCAGCTGTGGTTGGGCTATAACTCGCCTCAGCTGACTCTGACAAAACCCTTTCTTTCTCCAGTATATTTTTACATGAGGTGGGGCCATATCAATTAGCTGTGCTGTATTTTTATTCCAAACACACACTTAGAAATAGTCCTAGTATTGGTGTTACCCTGTTCTCCATGTAACACCCAGCAGGCTGCCCTGACACTTCCAATCAAACAGCCTGGTCTCACAACTCCTTTCCCAAGTATCATCCCCAAAGGCTCCTCTCTGAATCAGTCATGCTCTCCAGCAAGAGCTGTGCCCGCTAATCTTCTTCACAAATAATGGCAAAAACCACAGCAAAACATTCCATTAAAGTCACAGTTCTTCTACCTTCTCACCCATTTTTAAATTTCCTAGGCAGAAACTCACACATAGCATCCAGTATAGCTGATGGACATCAACAGTGTATTTTTTTCTTGGACTAAGTGCTTTATCTCTTTACAGATTCTTTCAAGACTGGCACCCCAGAACTGAAGCACCCCAAACCAGTAGCCTCTTCGGACAAATACTGGCACCTTTGCACCTTATGATGCCCTCCATGAAGGCAATGGCCAGGCATACTGCTGGTGCAGTAGAAAGGATGGAATGCTAGAGAATTCACAGCCTCCGCTTTCTTTCACAACTCTCACTGTGCTTCGCTCTCCCCTTATTAACCAATCCACATGCTTTCTATAAATAAATTACTGTACTCAGGCTTCTGCTGGCTCTGTAAACTCTCTTTATTGCATGCATTTCTTTTTACAGTTTGGTCTCAAGCTAGTTTCGATTCTGAAACAAAGTTAGGGTCGTAACGTGTGCAGTAGCCAACGCTGGCCTCACCTTGACCTTACTACTTCTTGAACCAAAGCCTTTCAGCAAGCTCAGGAGAGATGCAACTCTGATTTCCCACCCTGGACCTCTGCCTAATGACAAAAGCCTGTGGTCTTCTCCTCAGGACTTAACATCCCACCAAGGGAGGAGGGGAGAATGTTTTACACCAAGGTGGAAAAAAGTCTCCTCTCAGCTCTGCCCCTATTTGATTTTCCACAGCTCTGTGGAAGGAACTAAAAGGCCCAAGGACATAGGGAAGCACAATCCAAGGTACGAGAAGAATATGCTAAGATAAGAGAGGAATAAGGACATCTCAGAGGTAAAAAGCTCGCAACACTACGGAGGACTGAGAGAGAAAAAACATTTTAAAAACCAGTAAAATACGGTTCACCATTCATTCACAGCAAAGTGGCGGTGCTAAAATGGTGGCAGAACGTACTCCAATCAAAAAAAAGTGGCACACGGAAGAGTGAAGTAGCAAGACATCCACAGGATGCCACATATTTTATGGAAAATTTGCTCTATTTGTCTTTTTAAATCTACGAACTACTGGTGGGCTTGCTATTTCCAGAGAGAAGCCAGAAGTTTCCCAGGGCTCTGCTTCACAGCTATTCTCAAGATGATGTTCCTCCCTGTGAGACTGGCCCACTCAGGATGACTAACGTGCACCAGCCCATCCATCCTTCCCCTGCAGCTTTATGAGATCCTGCTGGTGCCTCCACTAGTCCCTGTGAAAACCTGGGCCACAACAGCTACGGCAGAGTGCAGCGATCGCTCATGTTTCACTTTGCTGTTTCTGCAGCAGGGATGGGAAAAGCTTCTCCATAACCCTCCTAAGGGACTGGAAAGCAAGGGAACTGCAGACTGTGGGAAGTGTGGGCTGCTCAGTATCCCAGGCCAAATTTAAACCCCGGTCATTTCAGAATATTGTTTAAAATTACTCCAGATACCCTTTTCATACTTTTTTTTTCATAACGTATGGAGCATTCATACTTTAAGCATCTACAACGTATATGTGGGGGGTTGCATGACATTCATTTATGAGAGAAGTAAGAGGACATTTTGAAGCCACATTCTTTTTATTAAAAACATTTTCAGAGGGAGGGAGAAAGCAAACATCACAAGCACAACATATAAGCATGAGCAGAGATTTTGTTTGTTTGTTTATCTGCTTAACAGCTCAAGAACAAACTTGTCAAACTATTAGCATGCTGCTATAATTTTGCTTGCAACATGAAATGGCTGAGCATTCCCATTTTGGAAACTGATCTTCAGATTTTCTCAGCCAGCTTTTGCCTTGGAAAAATCTGTCTGCATTAAAAACAATAATAAAATCACAAAGTGGTTGAATGCGACAAAAGAACTACAGGAGTTGCAGATAGGAGAAACCCTCTGAACTCAGACTTCTGGGATAAAAATTTATTCAAATCCAACTCCCAGGACACTTTATAAATGTGGTAACGATTATGGCCCCATCCAGGCACCATCTCAGCAACACCATCAGCTGACACTCCAGCAGGACAGCATTTTTCTTGCAGAATGAAGCCTCTGCTTTAGCACTGTCTGGAGTCACGGCCCCTTGGGGTGTCCCGGGCTCACCCATCCCCAGGGCACTGCAGTGGTTCTTGCAGCTTTGTTTCTAGCAATTACCACCAGAGTATCTGAACAATGTCACCACCAGGTTGCAAAACGTGACCCACACTAACTGAAAACAGCAGTTTCTTAAGGTATTGCTGGATATCAAATACCAGAGGCTGGGGATCACAGGGTAAGTGTCCCCTGGCCAGAAAGTTAAGCGTAGATATGAAATATTCAACGAAGTTGATAGCAACCTAAATGTATCTTCCTAAGCCTAGGATGACTGTCTCCAGAGCCAAAGGACTGAGGAGGCTGCAGAGGTTGTGCTGCATAGTAGCAGCAACGGGTAAGTAAGGGCTACGTCATCCAGAGATTGAGTTTGCCCCTTAAGTCTCAGGGTAGGGGCCACAACAAACCATTGCTGCTGTCAGCTAAGCCTGGCTCCCACCACCACCAAAAAGAGCCCACCAACACATTCCCTTCATTTAGACCATGTTAAGATCTTACCAATCAAGATTTCCAAACTACTTGTGGTTTCTTATGCATCCTCCCTGCCTTTCTTTCCCTCTTTTCATTAGTCTATTCCTATTAAAGCACTTGTTAATCCTCCCAAGGAAGCAACATAAGAATATTTTTAAGACTGCTACTGCAACATTCTATTTTTAAATGGCCTGTTGGGATGAGCATGTCAATGCAGTTGAGCCTGTTGACCCCAAATTGCGTCCTGTTTCTTCTCATGAGGATGACACAAAGTTCATGTACATACGGAGGGGTTTAAATACAGCTCTTCTCATCAACACAGCAACACTGCAGCATTTAACTGGATCTTAAGCTGAATCCACTACTTAAGCATATTCCCAGTCGTGTCTGATAGCAATATGCTGTTTATTTCTCATCTCAGTGGGCTTTAAGCATGTTGAAAAGCAGAGGGACAAGGGGAATCCTTGGTAGACTGCCAAGATCTGCAGAACATTACAAATTTCAAGCCTACCCACACTCTCCAAGTCAGTTAATACACCTACTTCTTGCCTCTTTCTTTCTCTGCACACATTATTACTGTAAAATTTTTGTTTTGGAAAGGTTCAAAGGCAAGCGGTGTTATGTGCTGTATGTCACAGTGGTTCTTTTTCCTCTAAGATGCCTTACTGTTATCAAAGAACTATGCAAATTAAGTGCAAAAGAAATCCTATCAGCTCATTCACCTCCTATCCCCCTGATTACCCAAGGTATGTATTCCACAGTAATGTAATTCTCCTACCAGCACAGTTTCCGGCCTGTGTATTAACATGCCTTTTGGGGGATTGTTCCTGGAAGCTTGCTCTCCAGCTAAATGCCATGGAAGTAGAACATGGGGCAACATCACACATTAAGGAAGGAAGGCAGCCTGCATGACTCATGACTTGCAAGCTTGGATTATCCTGTGCACTGTACACAATTAAGACATTGGAAAATTTCTCCAACCTCTCAAAATCCTATGCTGACAGTTGTGGGAAGAAGAGCAACTAAGTTGAAAATAATCTACAAAGTCACATTTCAGTTTCTACAACGTACAAAGAAGTAGCAGGCTACATTTAAACATGCTATGGCGTGAAAACGCGCCACAGTACCACCACTTAGAATTGCTGTGCAATGCCCCCATGCCAAAATTA